AATTTGATACCAAAGCCTGTCTTAGACAAAAAAACTACAGGCCAATTTTACTAATAAACTTAGATGTAAAAATCATGTCAAATATCAGGAAACAGAATCTTGCAAAATATAAAAAGGTTCATACAGTTTAGATGCCTTTAAGAAGAATGACTTGCCCGGCCTCCCGTGGCTCAGTGCTTGAGCGTCGACCTAGGATCCAGGAGACTGAGGTTCGATTCCCGGTCAGGGCACATGCCTGGGTTGTGGGCTCGATCCCCAGCAGGGGGCGTGCAGGAGGCAGCTGATCAATGACTCTCATCGTTGATGTTTCTATCCCTCTCCCTCTCCCTTCCTCTCTCTGAAATCAATTAAAAGACATTTTTTAAAAAAAGAATGACTTAACATTAGAAAATTATTCAATGTAGTTAACAGATTAAAAGAGAAAATTGATACAATGATCTCAGTGGATCTGAAACATAATTTGACAAAATTTAACACCTATTCATGGTTTAAAAGAGAAACTCCTAGCAAACTGAGAATAAAATGCCTTCATCTGGTAAAGTTTCCTGCAGCAAACTTCATACCTAATAGTGAGATTGGCGGCCAGACAAGGAAGGCTACTCTCACCACTTCTCTTCAACATGCGCTGCAGGACTCGGCCTCTGCACTAAGGCAAGGAAATAAATAAATAAATAGATACATAAATATAAATTAAATAAATAAATAAATAAGGGTCGATGAGGAAAAGGCAAACCTGCCATTACCTGCAGATGAGATAATTTGTGGTTGTAATCCAAAAATTAACAAGTGAGCATAGAAAGACTACCGGATACAAAATCATATCGAGTTTATAGATGAAAGCAACAATTAGCAGACAGCATTTTAAAATAGCGTTTAAAACTACCAAATACCTAGGAAGTTATCTAACAAAAGATATGCAAAAACACTACAGAGAAAAACTGAAATCGTATTGAGGTCAATTTTAAAAGGCAAATCCGTGGAGAAAGAAACCCTGTGCCTGAATCCTGCAATGCCCGCGGCCCCTCCGAGGGGGGCACTGGCGTCCCCCGGCTCGCTGCTGAGAAGCCTTTGATCGTTACGGGTCCCTAGGGGCGTGCACAGCGAGAGCCCCATGTACAGTGGGGGAAACTGGGCGGTTGCTAACAGCAGTCACTCTGGGAGGAGAGGTCGGGGTCCCACAGCGTGACCAGCGAGTTGCCAGGGGCGGAAAGGCCCCCGGGGAGCAGGTCCGGCGCTGGTTTTGCCCTGTGCTGGCACCAGGGGCTGTCTGCCCTTCTGACCCTGGCTGTACATTGGCCATTTTGTTCAACTGTCTCAGTCCCCTGTTCCACTTGCCCAGGGATTTTCCTAGCTTCTTGTTAACCTGCCTCATATCCACACATAATATTTGGGAAGGTGCTCTTTTGCAGGTTTAAAAACTTTATACACAGGGCGGCACACAGCACAAGCCTATCTTTCTGCATCTGGCCCCTTTTCTTCAGTTTTTGAGATTGTTCAGATCCATGCATGTGGCTAGGGGCGTTTCTTTGGATTCCTGGGAGGTAGTTCACGGGATGACTTCGTTGCATCTCCATCTACTTCCCCTATGGACTGATCTCTAGGTTTGAAGGTGGGTTTTTTTTTCCTCTTAGAGACAGCACTGCATCTTCCTCGGGTGGAGCATTTCCTCATTTCAAATGCCTGAGTCACGGGGCTTCTGGCTTTGAGGCTCCCTTGTGCCCTCTTCTGGGCTCCAGCCCAGTCTTCCCCAGGAGCCCCTGCCCCCAGGTCTGCAGGCTCACTGCCCCCACCCACCGTCCCTCGAAACCAGGGGGTAGGGGGGTGTCTTTCCCTTTGTCTGGCGCTGGCTGCACCTCAGCCCTGGGTGCCATGCCCCACACCGCACCTGGGATGACACAGACATTAAGTGAAATGAAAATGTTCAGTCTCAGAAGCTGGCTTCGGAATTCCCACAGGGCAAGAACTGTCTTGTTTTATAAAAATATGTGGCTTAGCTGGCTGGTGGAGTGGAAGAGGGGTAGAGGAAGCATCTTAGGAAATGGTTGGCAGGAGCCAGAGCAGCTTAATGGTTCTGCATTCAAATGGAACAGAAAAAGTTTGGGAGATGGGAGGGAAAGGTGTGAGAGGTTCAGTCTGAGCTCTAGAGGATGCTGCCTTGGGTTTGGAAACAGTCATTACCTGAATCCGACTTTGCCCTGCCACCACTAAATCTATATTGGGAACCTCTCAATCTTTGCTCTTTATATTTGAAAATTTGGAAACCTTAACTACTTTTTAGATAAATTTGAGAGACTAGCAAATTGTATCATTTACTTAACAAAATATTTATTAAGCATCTACTATGTGCCAGACAGTGGGGACACATCAGTGAGCCAAATAGCCAGAAGCCCCTGCCCCCGTGAAGAGAACATTCTGGTGGGGAAAGGCAGAATAAAAATGTAAATCAATATGTAAGATGCTTTCAGGTGGTGATAATGAGACTATGAAGAAAAAGTTTTATGTATTTAACAAACATTCCAAGCTTACTCTATGCCAGGCACTATTGTAAGTGCTTAAAAATATTAATTAGTCTAATATTTATATAGCATCTTATTTAATAAATAAAAGCAGTGTCTGGGATGGGGAGAGATGCTAATTCAGTTTATGTGGTCTGGGGCAGTTTCTTCTGGAGGGGACAGGCATTTGAGCCTGGGAACAGAAAATGAGCGAACCTCAATCTCCAGGCCAAGCATTTCGGGGAGAAGGTTAGTGCAAAGGCCCTGAGGCTGGCTTGGTGCTTCAGAAAAATGTCACCATAAGTGGAGCATTGTGAGCAGACATTAGAATGGACCAAGATGATGTCAAATTCAGCAGCCACTGGACAGATCCCGAAGGGCCTTGTAGGCTGCCATGAGTAGCTTGAATTTTATTTCCAGGGTAGTAGGAAGCCTTGTCTTGGAATCTTTAGAATCTTAAGAATGTTGCAGTTTTCATATCTATAGGATCTTGCAGTCATGGTCATCCTTTTTTGTTTGTTTGTTTTGTTTTGTTTAAAATCTTACAGATGTCCCTTTTTCTCCCCAATGACCCGTCG